ACCTTGCAGACACCGGTAATTTAAAATTAGTTCATTATCTCTGCGCCTGCTATAAATATCGTGTTCCAGCAGCAGTTAACTACAGCCTGATTTTAGATATTTTTCAGTCCCGACTGTGATTTCAGCACACCGTACCTTTCACCATAAATCACCGGGTAACACGCAGAGTGCTGAGATTACAAGACTCCAAGTGGCTGTGAAACAATGAGTTACACCCCTGCATTGCTCTGAAGTGGGACAAACACAGAACTTAGTGGAGATGCTGACTCAACAGGTGTTTAAGTAACATGAATCACAAGGCAGTACCGGGCAGTAACACACTATTTCAATAATGTGATTATTTTTTCACTAACAAGTAGTGTAAGGAATTGCATTATGAAATGCAGTAATAACATAAACCCCAGTAATGCTCTGTCTTTTTCAATATCTTGAGTTTGATGGAGGATTTGATTTGATTTGATTTGATTTATTCTTTCAAGCATGTAAAGACAGTTGATATGTCAACACATAATTTTACACACATCCAACAAATGCTAATCCAATATCAATTTGCTTATACCTAGTACATGCTTGAATGTAGTAGGAAGAAGTCAGACTTATCCAGTCCTACCCCATAACATCATCTCTCTATCATTGGTTTGCAAGCAGTATCTCTACATAGATAATTATCTTCTACACCACACAAGTAATATACTAAAGAATTATTACAAAGTGTTAACATTCATACACCACACCCACAATGTTCCATCTGGTTAATCATTGAGCCTGTTCTTGCATATATCTTGATTGACACATACCTTTATATTTATGTTTAAACACATCAATTCTATTACTATTTTTATGTCCACACTTAAATTATTCCATAGTTTTACCCCACTTATGGAAATACAAAATCTTTTTTTGGTTGTACGTATAGCATGAATTTTTAAATTTAACTGACCCCTTAAATTGTATCCCCCTTCCCTTTCATTAAATAGTTTTTGAATTCCACCAGGTAATAAATTGTTCCTGGCTTTATACAAAAACACAGCAGTCTTATATCCCACTAAATCAAAAAATTTTAACAATTTAGACTGTATGAAAGCTACATTGGTGTGATCCCTATATCCCATCTTATGCACAATTCTTATTGCTCTTTTTTGTAATATATACAATGGTTGAAGTGAGCTTTTGTATGTATTTCCCCAGTTTTCAACGCCATACTCTAAGTATGGTAAAATCAATGAAGAATACAAAATGCGTAGTGCTTTCCTGTCCAAAATATATCTAACCCTTGCCAATATCGATATATTTTTTGCTATTTTGTGCTGAACATATCTGATATGAGATTTCCAGGAGAATTTGTCATCAACTATGACACCTAGAAATTTAATTTCATATACTCGTTCTATATTAGCTCCCCCAGTTTTCAATTGAAGTTCATTATCTAGTCTACGATTCCCAAATACCATAAATTTAGTTTTATCCAGATTCAGAGATAGTATATTACTATCACACCATTTCTTTATCTTCTCAAGTTCCTGTGAAACCCGTTCTGAGAGTTGCTGTAGGTTTTCATCAGATGCCCATATGGTAGTGTCATCAGCAAACAAAACCACTTTGACAATTTCAGAAACCTTGCATATGTCATTAATGTATAATATAAATAATTTAGGTCCCAAAACAGAACCCTGAGGCACTCCACATACAATATCCAGCTCACTCAATTGGTGTTCACCCAACTTCACAAATTGACGCCTCTGTGTCAAATAACTTCTAATCCTTTTCAGAACCATTCCTCTGATCCCATATTTTGGGATTGGGATTGATATGACTGATGATGAAAGGAGGTCAGCGTCAAGCAAAAGTAGAGAAATGTGATACTTGTTAATTCACATCTAACAAAAGTAGAGAAATGTGACTCCTTTTAATTCTAAAGTTATTTTTTTAAATGTGTCTTCTTGGCTTGCTTGTTAATGTTATCGATGGGTGTGCATACATTCATAAGTCAACTATCTAGTGTTGTTTAGAGTTGGAGGATGTGTAATTGTACACACATCACTGTGATAATATCTAGCAAAAACTGCAGAAGTGACCTCTGGAGTTTTTATTGTGGCTCAAGTCTCATGCACTAACATGGAGAAGGCGGGATTTATGACCTATACTGCGACGAGCCAGTAGGGGGCGATCAAGTTATGGTGAATTCACTTCTGGGAGCTCTTAGCCTGTAAACAGTTTTTCCAGTAGATGGTTCCAGTCAGTACTGTCCGCACCACAGAGGTTGACAAGACATCTCATGCATTGATACTCATTTGAAAATTTATAAAATATGTGTTTTGCAATAACTGTCTAAATTTTAATTAGTTACAGTTGAGAGATTGCACTTTTAGATAAACTCATAAAACATAATAATAATAAGGATAATCACCTTTACTGGCCAAGTATGTTACACACAAGGAATTTGTTTCCAGTACAGAACCGATGGCAGCCATCTGTGGCGCCAACTCAACCAATGACTCTAATCATCGGGGGCAATGGGGGGGGTTCAGTGTCTTGCCCAAGGACACTTGTGGACTGCAGGCATCGATATTCGAATCTCCAACCCTGCTTTAGCCACTGAACCACAGTCGCCCCAGATTACATATTTATACTTCCCCAAGGAGTCTAAACACCTCGACTGTGATTTGCAGAAACCATGAACCTTTGATATCAAATACATCAGACACCAGCAGTGTGACTCAAACCACAGACCAGCCAATGCTGCCATGTTTAGATCTCATGGTGTGAGTCCAGCTCCAGTGCGTGGTGTGCAAACAGCTCTGCTCATTTACATATTTGGTTGACTATCTCTTTGTGTGTGTTGGACACACAGATAAGAACTTTCACTGAATTTATATAGCAAAATAACCACAGTGATTTGTTTGGATATCAAAAAAACAAACAACAAAACACTGTGTTCCAGCTGGTCACAGGTTGAAACAACTGTAGTGCAGTGAATAAGCAGCTAAAATGAATAATGAAGAGTTTAATGTCCTATATAGTAGAGCTAGAAATCTCTAGGTCCCTAAATTTTGATTCAAGGTGCCTAATTAGATTACTAAATATTTATAAATCACTCCAGTTTTCTTTAGCCTCTGCATAGATTGGTTTCACACTTTGATTGACTGGGGAGGGTTTTTTCATACCTGAGGCTGTTTGCCCTAAAAATTTGGCACAGTAGACGAAGTGTGAAAGTTATCAAACCTCAGGTTTGTGTTTGTTTCAAGTAAGCCAGACTTGAGCTTCAAAACTGCTCTTCAGAAAACCAGTGGGTGGCGTCACAGTGAGTCTGTCCATCTTTTATATACAATCAATGGTGAAAACAACCATGCGGTAGTGACTCCATTCTTAAATGAGTGGAGATAAATAGTATGCAGAACAAGTCTGAGAATGCCCTCAGAAGTAATCTTCTACATTTGAATAAGCCTGATAGAAACTCACCTGGTCCTCAAAGGACAAGGCCTGTCCGACATCACGAGGGAACCCATCTATGACAAGACCATTAGCATCTGGTATCTTCATAATCTTCTGCTTGATCTCAGTTATTGTGGTCTCCTGAAAACACAACAGCAATACGATTCGTGATTAGCATCTCTTGGCCCCTCAGTTTGTGTTTAAATGTCTAAAGCTTGACAACAAACAACCATATCTGCAGGCAAAATATGAAGCAGAAAGGTTGTGGTTATGATTTTATTTTCCAGTAAGAGCATAAAGGAGGTGATTAATTTGGTTAATGTTTTTGTAATTGTATCTTGAAAATCAATGAGTAGCTGATTTAGAAGCAATAACACCGTTAATGGAAAATCATGACGGCACAATGGAGAATTTCACAATATGTTTCATCTGTTTATCCAGTTGGAATTTAATATTCCTGAATGCAGCAGAGCAACTGTCTGGAGTGCACTTGAGGCCAGGGAGTGCCAGCATCTCTCAGCATCATTTGCTTCCTCCTGCCTGGAGGGGGAGGGGGGGTCAACATATTCGAATGTATTTCTCCAGGCAGAATGTATCATATAATATGGCAGAGATACATGAGCAACGCTCTGGTTTAAAAATAACATGTGGCCTTGGCCGAGGCCAGCGGTGACTAACACAGAGGTTTCATTTCCGGCCAACCACAGAATAAGAGCAGTGGCCCTACAGACTACACAGAGATTAAACCTAATCTTGATTCCATCACACAGATTAAATGACGAAAGCTAATATAAGAAAAGTCCTCTGATCTTCTGCATTGGTCTCTGCCTGAGCTCTCATGGGAATACAGGCATCAAACAACCATTTCTGATTCCTAGAGAGCCAATTTATCTACAAATAACAGAAGCCTTCTTACAGTGGACAAGCAGCTAGAGAGACCCATTGAAGCTGAATCACCCCCTGTTCACTCATTCACTAGTTCTCTAAGTACTCTTACTTTATACAGTAGTGAGCAGTAATTTGAGATTATGGATACTTGAACCAGCTGAAAACTGAAATTTCCCAGAGCCCAAGGTAAAGCCCAGAAATGGAGAAATGGCAAATTTCCATACTGAAGATGTTAGAACCATCAAAGTTTTGGCAATTTTATTTATTAATTTATGTAGATAAATAGTTATTCATAGGACTGATTTTAAAAATGCTCCTGTAGTTTGCTGAGTCCGTCTAAACAAGAAGATTCTGCTGCAGTCTGAGGATATTAATTTTAGACCAGACTGTCAAACAGCCAAGAGCCTCTTATGAGGTGACCGTTGGGATTTCTAAGGGAACAGAAGTTCAGAAATGTACTGAGTCATGTGACCCTGCAGTGAATAGAAGGCAAACTGCAAGAATCTGGAAGCTGGCTGAGAGTCTGTGAACTGATGCTGTGTACTTCCTGCATTTTGAATTATTCGCAGTGTTTTGACAGCTGAAAGGTCTTCACAGCAGAGCGCAGTGACAGGACTCCAGGCTACAAATGGGAAATGCATGATTAACCTTTTTCCAAGGTGACTTACAGAGACAAAGATTGTAGGAATACATCTTATGATCATCAATTTGGGAAATATGCTTATTTGCTCTGTAGGCAAGTGTTAGATGAGAAGATTGATATCACTGTCTTGTCTGTCTGTCAAATGTGACTATGGAGCTAAAACCCTGGAAACAGGGGATAGCTTGGATTTTGCTGATTGGATTGCATGGTTTTACAGGGGACAAACTTTGGACACCAGTGAAAACAAGTTGTTTGACAGTAACATCACTCAGCACATGTTAAAACCTGTCCTAAGGGCTAAAGCTTCAGAACAACAGCCTTCTCCTAGAGCCAGGAGTATTTTGCCTTTTCCTCTCGTCATTATAAACAGAATCATTAAAAACCCAAATTATAATCTGCTTTGCTAAACCAATAATGGCAGGAAATTAAATGCCTTGCAGCCACACGTCACTTTATCATATCTTGGCCTACTTTGCTGTTTATCTCATTGGCTCCTGGATTGACATCTGGCAAATGTCCAGAAGGGAGCTGTGATGTTGTGCCAGATCTGCAAGGAAGGGATGATAAATGACGAGGTAGGCAGTTACAGAAGATAATTCATGAGCAGGCACAAACTAAAAACTGCCAACCATCTGTGCTACAGCCTTGTACAGTACCGCACTGTATCACCAACCCAGGTTGACAGTAAAGTCTCCTCTCTTAGGTCTTTTCACTGTATTCATAAATCTGCATCCAGAAAACCAGAATCAGTCACTCACTAACACGATAAGACAAACCCCTGTTCAGTACTTTTCAGGGATTCTCAGACAAAGTGCATTTATTTTTAGGACAGCTGGAAACCAGACCACTAACCAAACACAGAGCCTGTGACAAAGTGTGTTAAAGTAAGGGACCGTACCCATGCTTTGCAACTTTAAATCAACAAATCGTACATGTGTACTTCCCATGAATAGTGATCATTTTTAATGCATACACTGTTTATACACCGATCAGCCACAATACTACAGCCACTGACAGGGGAAGTAAATAACATTAATTATCTCATTACAGTGGCACCTGTCAGTGTGTGGGGTATATTAGGCAACAAGTAAACATTCAGTCCTCAAAGCTGATGTTTTGGAAGCAGGAAAAATAGGCAAATGTGAGGGTCTGAGTGACTTTGACAAGGGCCAAACTGTGATGACTGGGTTACAGCATCTCCCAGACGGCAGGTCCAGGTCCTGCAGTGGTTAGTAGCAACCAACAGTGTCTAAGGAAGGACAAGCAGTGAACCGGTGACAGGGTTGTGGATGCCTAAGATTCACTAATGATGACGTTGACCTACTGTAGATTAAACTTTTAAACTTCATTAATTGTTTTCAAAAGATTCAGTTTTGTTTGAATCTGTGTTAAAATGGTTGAAAGTGAGAAATAATTTTCACTGGTCTCTATGAAGAGAAACAGCTGTCTGTCTGGCTGCAGAACACATTTGTGAGCTATGCAGTAGTTTTAATTCCCATATGTACTTGCACTCAGCCTCAGACACTGGAGCTGTTGTAATTTCAGAACTGTTTTGTGATGGCATTATCCTTGAATTCATACAATTACAAATTTTAATCAAAGAAATAATCTTTATTTCATATTGAACTGGGATGTGCAAGGCCTCCGCGTGTTTCCTATACAGTGTTTGTGTGGAACACAAACAACCACAGGGGGTCTGTGCCCATTTTCTTCCCAGGCAGAGTCATTATCTTGCAAAGAAGGCCGTTAATACGAGGGATAAGCATCCATCTCTGCAGCACACTTGTGATATGGATGCTGCTAATTAGTCCCTTTTTACAAGCACGCTGTGATAATGACCTGTGAGTGACTGGACACACTCTGCGGTCATTCTTCTCCTCATGTTCACCCTGTTTCACGCACTTACTCCCGCCTCCTCCCCTCTCCTGCTCTGTTTCTCTGCTACCTGTGGTGCCAGTTCTCCGTTGGTGATGATTTTGGCAATCAGGCTCCACTTTCTGTTACTGGTGGCGTTGTGGATCATCTTCTTCCTCAGCAGCTCGCCCACAGACACGTACTGGAAGCCGTAGCGCTCGGCAATCTTCAGGCTCTGTGTTCCTTTGCCACTGCCAGGGCCACCTAGGCACAGAGGAGAGAGAGCTGTGGATGTTTTGGGAGAGATTTTTGTCTGTGGTGTGAGTGTGAAACATTATGTGCGTGGGTGTGTTAGTGTAGGCGCATGTGTGTATTACCCAGCCTACAGTATGTGAGACTTTGCGTGTGTGTGTGCACGGCTCTGCTTGTACATGTGCGAGAGGGTGTTTGTGACTGTGTTGCTGTGTGTGTGTTTTGCGGAGGAGAAGGGCATGTGTGTGGCAGAGGGGGGGCAGATGAGCGAGACAGGTATGTGTGAATCTCCTACATTTGTTACCAAATGCTCTTCTGTTTTTCTGAAGTTTTCAACAGGAAAAAGGATGTGCAGAGGAGTGATGACAAGAGGAGACAGCTCTTACAGTCGCTAGATGATCTTAGTGCAGGAGATGTTCACACCTATAAAAGTCAACCTTGTGAATCAACTGTCCCAAAAAGAAGTGTCCAAGCATCCAAGTGAATAAAATCATCACAACTCAGTGACTGTCTGCTAATATATTATTTGGTTGGATTTAAATTACATAGTCCAATTCTGACTGACAGATTTCAGTGGAGTGACTGTCCCTAAAGGTAAACTGAGTATCAAAACCTATAGTGGTGGTTAGGTCAGAGGCCTTTCTGACGATGGGAAGCATGTTTCTGAAACAGTCAGTTCTAAAAGTATGCATTGCTTGTGGTCAGACAGCAGGTCAAGCCTAGTTTGTTTGAACCTCATTAAGACCTTTAGAGTTGTGCTGTCATGCACAAAAACCACAGCTGACACTGTGTTTAATATCTACTTCCCATCAGCTGACAGATACCTGACAGCTGACCCAAACACTTATACTGTCTTTAGAAAGACAAAACTGATATCACGCCCCTGTCTGTCTGTGTACTACAGTAAATGTGAAAGAATAGCTAGAAGACAGTTAGCTTAGCAAAGGGGGGAAACAGCCAGCCTAGAACTGACCAAAGGCAAAAGTGAGTTTTACAGATGGTGGTATAGGTGAATTTAGTTTCCTTCTGATGGAGTCAGATTAGCCACTTCACCCTGTTGACAGCCTAACCTGGGTGTAGCTTCATATTTAACACAAAGACATGCAAGTCATTTTGATCTTCTCATTTAACACTCAACAGGAGAGTGAAATAAATAAGTGCATTTCCCAAAGCTATTCCAGTTAACATTCTACTGTTACTGTACAACCCCAAGTCACATGATTTACACATCACTGTGTTCAGTTTTAATTTTGATTTTACATACTGTCTCAGCTTCTACTGAAGTGATTAATTTCCTTCTTAGATAGGGCGAAGGGTTAGAATTTTATTTTCACTTTATTTTTATATATGAGGGAAGTGAAAGAGACATTTTCATGGTAGACGTTTTGACTGAACACGTGCAGCTAATAATGTTAACAATGGTTCAGTGTCCCAGTAAGTCATGTGAGTTCCTGCTATGATAACTGTGTCAACAGAAAGTAGTGAAATAAATAACAACAGTGGAGAAAGTGTTTATGGGATGATAATGGAGAGAGGGGTGGTAGGGGGATAAGACTGATTCCCTAATGTGTATTTAGCAGATTGCACATTGTCATATATCTGAGTATTTAGTTCAACTCAGTGCCCTCCTGACCCCACTTGTATTGTCCACTCTCTTTCTCTCTCTGCAGACATGACAGACACAACATTTGCCATGATCTTCCAAAAGACACGACAGCTGCCGACATCCTGTTGTGCCTTTAAAGTAGGGCACAAGTGCTCGCAAAGGTGAGATAGGAACTGGCTTTGTGCTGTGAGGACAAATAACTGTTATCCACACCACAGACAGAGTAAACATCTAAGGTAGACAACAAAAACAAATCATGGTGTAGCAGCATTCTGTCAGAAATCTCTTAAGAGCTTTTAAAAGGCTTCAAAATCATTTAAATAAACTTTTTAAAAAGGCTTTATAAATAGCAGCCTTTCTGGTCCAGCTCAACCAGTGTCATTTCTCTCTTTGTGCTGCTGCCATGCTTAATTTAAAAGATTAATCAGTGTATTTGACAGGTTAATGCAGGGCCATCAAGGAAATCAGATTAGGAGAGTGTGAGTGTCTAACACAGTGAGTGACATGCAACAGGATCTCTCCTGCTGATACGAACAGAGAAGGGCGGTGCTGTGTTCAAAATGCCATGAAAAACACACTGCTAGTGCACACACACACCAAGTCATAGATTCCCATCCACACCGTGTATTTTTAGATCATCAACGAGGCAAATATAAACTTCTACTTTATATTTTTGTCGACCTCTTTATACAAATGGATCAAACTTTCATCTGAAGTAGTGAATAGAAACAAGAGAAACTGGCTGCAGCGTTTTGCTGCGTTTACACATGAAAGGATCTTTACTCCTGTCTCTTATCTATTGGAAAGCACAATTCAGGAGAAGCATTTCAAATCAAAAACGTCAGACCATCCTTCATTTTTGCTTAAAAAAGTGTCCTTATTCATGTGTAGTTTGAGGATACACATATTTAATGTAATGTTTATGTTCTTATTTGTTGTAGTGAGCCTTTACCGATGACGAGGATGACTTTGGGTCGTGGTCTTGATGGATCAAACACCTCGTACTCCTCTATCAGCTCCGCCGTTTCCGACAGGTCTGAGTCACTCTCAATGGAGAACTGGCTGATGGGAGGGAGGCGGTCATATCGTCTGTAGGGAATTTTTTTTTCGGGCAACACTGTCCCACACACAGTCACACACATACAAATGTTTAAATTAGACCCAAGTAGTCAGCTCTTGTCTGAAGCACTGATAAGGAACTATTTCTTTTCCATAACCTGAAGTTCATCATTGATTATCTCTGATATACAATATATTGATTCCATGTTTTAGAGGTTGCCATCACCCATAACATTATGACCACCTGCCTAAGACTGTGTACACAGCAGTCAGTGTGACAGTTGGTTGGTGCTTGCATCACTCTGAGGTTCACAGCGCATGTTGTGTGAATTTGTTTGCTTCCACAGTTATACAGTCTGAAAGAGCATGAATTTGTTTATCATTTAGTGATGAAATTATGTAAAAAGGAGTGAAAACTGTGGTCGTTAGAGATAATTTTTTAAAACAAATCCAACAGCCTCCCTTCTCTGGGTGTGATATCACCACTATAGCTGCTGAATGTTTCTCTTTATAGAGACCAGTGTGCAGTGTTTCTCATTTTCAACCATTTTAACAAAGATGCTAACAAAATAGAATCTTTTGAAAACAATTAATGAAGTTTAAAAGTTTAATCTACAGTAGGTCAAGGTCATCATCAGTGAATCTTGGGCGTCCACAACCCTGTCGCTGGTTCACTGTTTGTCTTTCCTTAAAGACTGTTGGTTGCTACTAACCACTGCAGACTGGGAACACCCAACAGGACCTGCAGTCTGGGAGACGCTTGGACCCAGTCATCACAGTTTGGCCCATGTCAAAGTCACTCAGATCCTGATGCTTGTCTGTTTTTCCTCCTTCCAAAGCATCAAATTCACACCATGAATGTTCACTTGCTGCCCAATATACCCCACACACTGACAGGTGACACTGTAACGAGATAATCAATGCTATTCACTTCACCTGTCGGTGGTCATAATGTTATGGCTGATTGATGTAATTTCATACTGCCAGTCAGTTTATAGGTGCAGGTCTCACATTATCTCAAACACTGCCAGTCCAATTCCGGATCAAGAACCAACATATGATGCGTGTTCTAACAGCAAGAGAGTGAATTACAGATGGACATAAATTACAGCACAGAAGATGGTATTGGTCATACAATTTCACAATGACAGTACAGAAATGGAATGCGACTTTTGTTGAATCAGAGAGTTGAATCACAGCAGTGGAGCTGTTATGCAGCACACATTGCTCTGGTTAGTCTGGAAAATATTTAGAAAAAAAGTGAATACTAATGCTGCGCCACCTGTGTGAGTCTAAAGGTGACTTTGGGCCTCCTAACATTTCTAACACATACAGTAAATCAGATAAAGGCAGAAATGTGCCCTTATTCAATCAATATCTCTTTCAGAAAATGTCTCTGCATGTGTGTGCATTTGCATGAGCAAAATGTCTGGAACATACACGATATTCTCACAGACAGCTACAGTGTACATTGCTGATGTGATTCGCATACATCATCAAACAAGGAAGTGAATGTTTGAATTTAAAAGAAACCTAATGACACAATGCAAATGGAAAAAACTTTGCTTTGCAAATGTTTAAATGTTCTGTTTGCAGGTCTGCAGGTAGACCTGCTGGAAACCATATAGCTGATAACTGATGAATGGAGAGCCTTTTAGGATCTCAGTTCAGATTAATGATCAACTACACACAGTCATCTGTCTTTCATGGTGGAGTAACTAATGGCCAATAAATCCATTGGTTAGTGGAGGCAGCACAGGTATGTTCAAGGCTCTTCACGCTGGATTCTGGTTATAGCTGGTGTTTTAGACATGGGAGCTCTGGTGTGTCAAATGCTTCTAGCTTTTTCAGGGAACTAAATTTGAGAGTAGTGATGCGCATGGCTGTGCTTCATACAGACACAGAAGAGAAAAGCTTCCTAGCTCATCACACCCTGAAGTCCTCTAGTACTTCCAAGAGTAGCACAGTTTGAACAGTGTGTCTGGGGCTCATCTCATGCTCATGAGGGCATGGTACAAATGTCACATACCCTCTCCTGTTGAAACTCTGATTTGGCTCTGATTGTGTGAGAGAGGAAGGTGTACTGCAGCCAGCTTTCTTAAAAGGAAGGAAAGTGCCAAAAAATATGTCTCAGCTCCTAGTTGGCAGCTTTTTCCTTTCCCTTAACTAAAGAAGCTATGACAAAAACCTAATGAGATAAAAGACAGTGCCAGTACAATTAATCTACCAAAAATGGTTAGTCAGTGAAATGTCATAAAATAAAAGAGCCTCATATGGTGTCTTTTATCCAAACAATTAAAGAAATTAAATTAAGCCAAAAGTAAGAAATCTTCAGATTTATGAGGCTCATTTATGGGTTTTTTGCTTACAATATAAACTATAAATTGCTGCTACAAATCTTCTGTCAACTTACTAATCAGCTAATTGACTGCTTCAGTTCTAGTTTGTCTTACTGTATCAATTCACCACTCACCATTTCTGAAGAGGGACCTGCGTGATTGGCCCCCATTGAGAGGGGGAAGGGACTTCTTCTCTTGCCCCACAAACGTATCCCACCGCACCTTGTCTGGTCCTCCGAGCTCCCTGACTTTCTTCAGACAACCCTCCAAGTAGTCGATGGGGTCGTCAGGCCTGTAGTACATCAAACCTGTCAGCAGGCTCTGGAGAAAACAATGGGGGAGGACGTGATGAGGTACAGAAGGAGGAGAGATTTGCTTTGGCATGATGGCATATTTGTTATGGAGCGTTGTTCTGTGACAGAGTGATGGCAGAGAACGGCCCGCCATTACGGGGTGAAGTTTTGAAGTGAAGTTGCCTTGGCTTGGCTCCACCAAAGCCACAAAACATCTCATTTTGTCAGAATCCTCAGAAATAAACACAGAATCCCTGATGGCCTGTCGTTATTAAAAGAGCAAAGCCAGTGGGTATGATGGATGTGAGAGCTACCTCTACGCCAAAATACAAGCATGTTTGTGTGACAGTTGCCTCCTTAACCCTGGATGTTTTAAACAATAGGCTACATTCCTCTGTGGACGCCTCCACCCTCCTGGCTAACAGCAGCTCCCACCGCCAGCAGCATGAAAACAGAAAGCCTCTCCCAACTGAAAACTGTTTTTGATGTGCTTATTTAGTTGATTGATGATTAATATGCTTTCATATGAACTGCAATTGTTAGCAGTAAAATCACAATGCAGTTATGATTATGATGTGTCACTTCACTGCTCAATTTGATCTTGCTGTAAATAAACAAGCAGTGATTGCTTGCATACATTACCAGCACTGCGCTCAGGATTAAGTCTAATTAAGTGGATGGGCCAATTTACTATCCCCCTTGGGAAAATGAATTATATTTCATTATTATATTCCCACAAGCTCTCTAATGTGTCAGTCTGTGGTGGTTTCATTGTACTTTATAGCATCATTTACCTTTTATAGTACAATATTTCTGTAGACAGTTTTCAGATGAACTCATGCTTTGTAGCACTTTCATGTCTGTCTGTTGCTGTTCCTTGAGTTAAGTGTCATATAATTATGAGCTTTTATCATTCTTTTTGTACTATGTCACAGTGCCTAGACTAACTTTAATTTTTCAGCATAAAAAAAATGCTGTATCCAGTTAAGAACATCTCTCTGTCTTGCGCAAAGGAGCAGAGGAAGACTGGGTTTACTGTAACTGCCGTTTCAGGCTGGCTGTAATTATAACTATATATTAGTATAAAGCACTTTATAAAAGGGGTTTCCTTCTCATCTAAACAGTTATTTATCCTGGAAATTTCTGATAAGACTCGCCTGGCATGTGCATCGCAACCCTAACAAGATGTAGCCTACTACATATAAAGAGGTCTTTACCCTGACTCTGACGTGTTTTGCAGTGCATCTTTGTAAAAATGTGTAAAATCACATTGTGAAATCTGCACGTAGCCCGGTCATCTCATCCTCACAAAGCGCACACCATCTCTCACCTCAAATAGTTGAGTTATCTCCCGCCGTGCGAGATACTCCTTGGCATCGTTGGTATTCATCTCCAGCCAGATTTCGTCCGAAAGCACAACTTGTCCAGAGCGGGTTTTTTTTCGGATGTTTCAGTGCCGTCAAATAATTTTCGGTCGATAGACGATCCCCAGACAGTTTCCCCTCAGCGCATGGTCGCCTCTTGTGAGGACTTTACAAGTGGATTCCTGCAGGCGACACCACCGTGCCACCCTCTTCAGTGATGCGGATGCGTGGCTCGTCCGTCTTCCCTCCTATAGCGCTCTGCCTCCAGCACGCACCATGTGCCTTGACGTTGGCACAAAGGTGCGCACGGTGCCGTGTGCCCAAGGACGCCCGAACCGCCTTCACATGGAGTTTTTCAGCCGTTCGCGCTCAGCAAACAAACTTGATTATGATTTAGGATTAAGTAATTACAATGGAAATTATTTGTAGTTTTGTACAGATTTTTACTTAAAAGTACTTTGCTCTATTGTGTGCTGCTTTACACTAATGCAGTTCATATGGAGATATTGTACTTTTTACTCAAGCAGACTTACAGTAAATTTACATGTACATACAGTACATGCAATGTCCCAAACATTTTTGAATAATGCCTTACAGACAATACAGTGAATACTTATAGTTAAGTTATTCAGTGCAGCTAAATACAGTTTTATAAACAGGTTTGACTGGAGGTCAACACTTAACTTGCATAACAATGTACTGTACATTTTTATTTTCGGTAATTCATATAAACAGTTCAGCAAAATGTGAATTCCTCTTGTCACACAATCAAGGTTGTTTTAGGCGACCCAGGAATAGGACAGTTTGATTTCTTGTTTTGTCCCATAGGATTTGATTCTTAATAGGCCGCTGAACCTGTTGACAGCTGGAGAGCTAACTTTAAGTCTCCAAGCTGGCTATATCATAGAACAACAGTAGATTAGCTGAGAAGCATGTTGTAAAGTCATGATTATTCCTGATTATTCTGTCTGAATAAATCACTCACTGCTGAGGACAAAACAGCCTGACAGTAAAATGTAAAATCTATGGATTGAAAATGGAATGAATCAGTTTATGTGACTGAACCGTTTTGCTGGTGCTCTGCCCTTTTTCATTAGCTATGCATTTTGAAAGGAGCATTACTATGCTGAGCTTTGTGCAGGCAAAGTGACTGATGCTGCAGGTCAAAAAGCAGGAGAAGTAAGAGATGTCTTGAGGATGAAAGTGGCTGGTGGACCACTAAAGATGCAATGTGATGTGTCAAAGGTTATTTTTCCAGCAATCCTAGTTCTTGCTGTGCTGTAATGTTCCATTAGAACTGTATGAAGGATATGTTTTTTCATAGCTTCACCTTAGTGAAGGCCTCCCAAACACTTGGGCTACTTCAACTGGGTATTTTAATATGAAGCTGTCACAATCATTTGACAAATGATCTGACCAAATGATGATTTGCTATTTTAGACATGCAGTCAGCTGTGCACTGTAATTCCTGAAGTGTCATACTTAAAAGTTAATTGCTACATAATGCAAAAACACATTTGGTTACACACAGGAAAAAGCCATTGTGTGTCCCTTTAATGGTGATCACAAAGTGAAAAACCTGTGAAATAAAGGAATAAATATTAAGTTTGTTATATATTGTTAATAAATAACTTGACCTATATACAACATATACATATACAACATTGGTAAGACCATGTATTGCAATAGACAAAAAGGAAATTTCTTGACCCAAATCCTGTTTTATTATAAGTTAGGCTATAAGAGAATAAATAAATCATCGCAAACTCTCAGTGTTGAATGATCTACAATATATACAGTATGTAAATAGTGATGATTGACCGTATTGGGTCTGGTTGGTTTTGGGATACGGCCCAGAGGAGGAGCTGCTAAGTGAGACCTTGACAAGCCCGTTCTCTAACAAATATCTTATCATGCTTTCTTTCTTTCTTTGTCTTATTGCGTGCTTTTATTTTGAAACGTCTCCTACAGGAAGTACCTTTTGGGCGGAGCTATCGGTTTTCACTTCCTAGATGTGCAGTGCTAACACTGCTACATAATGAAAATACTGACTTTATTAAGCTTATTTTCTACGCAGTTATTAATAGACAGCATTAATATCGAGGTGAGTGTATGTTCCGCTCCCAATGTTCTGCCAATTTTATGTTGTATGTTGAAGTTAATATGAAATGTCGCTTTCATGTTAGCCTTCTATGCTGTCATGCTAGCCAGTTAACTGCTGTTTGAGTGATGAGCCTAGTAGCTTATTTGAGTCGAAACCACAATAAACATGGAGATGTATTTATCTTCTTTCACTTGTTTCTCAGGATAATGCGGGCCATTTCTTCAGCAGTGGTCATACTAACAACTGGGCTGTTCTGGTGAGTATTCATTCATTTTGCATCTTTCGAAGAGGCGGAGCACATGTTAATTGATTTTGTACATCAGAGGTGGGAGTAACAGAAACCAATTTGTGGCACGATTAACTGGTCCCTTTCTCCATGTGCAACGCAGGTGTGTACATCCAGATTCTGGTTCAACTATCGCCATGTGGCCAATACGCTGTCTGTCTACAGAAGTGTTAAGAGGCTGGGGATCCCTGATAGGTAAATTAATTATGATAGAACAGCTCACCTTGTAATATCAAATTGATTTAGTCAATTTTAGATATCATTTGATGGTGTTAACATAAAGGTAAAGCTAGGCATTGGATGTGTTGTCACTGAGCTGCTGACATTAATGAGCAGAGGTTTGCATATTTAAGAATATCATGTTCACTGCTGATATTTTGTTTGTTTCTTAACACTACAAATATGTTCTTTTTGCCTAATTTTAATTAGTCTTGTCAATATTTCTTTTGATATCTCCAGTAGTGTGGGTATGTGCCAGTAGCATTGTGATAGGTTACTGAGGAATCTGTGAAGTTCTGCACATTCGTTGTTTGTTTATTAGGATAAGATGACATGATTAAGGATGTTTGTAATGTCAGTTTTTGCTTGGCAGTGCACTGTTATTAACAGTGAGCTGTAGATTGTAGAGTTGGTTGGGCTTTAACTGTATGGCCGAGGTGTCTACTTTTGTTCACTATCCATGTGCAAGACACTGAACCCCTGCTTTGCCTGTTTATGTGGAAAAACTAAGTCGCTTTGGACACAAGCATCTGTCAGTCTAATAAAATGTAATGTAATGTATAATATGCAGAGCATATCATTAGTGTTTTCATTTATTTTCAAATGTAAAAGTAATGATTTTCCTTTGTCATTTTCTCTCTTTTCAGCCACATAGTTTTGCAAACCTGCCACAGTGTTCAGCCACAAGAATATGGAGCTGAATGTGTATGGTGACGATGTGGAGGTGGACTACCGAGGATATGAGGTTGGTTCACATGGAACTCAGGCAGTTACACACACACACACACACAACAACACTGTCCTTACAAAGTTAGTGCTTTGGAATAAGTTTAAATTAAAGTGTTTGTTTATTTCACTCACTGGCTGTATATAAAAGGACAAACACACCATGATCTCATGCCTTGGTTTTCTGAAGAGAGTTTTGAGGCTAAAGTCTGGCCATCGCCATCTTGGTAGTGGTTCACTCCACCTAACTCCAGTTAATCCAAAATTGGGTAAAGAAGTGGAGCTTGCTAGATGGCTAGTGGCTAACCACCTGTTGCAGGACCCTCTTGTCTGTCACTCAAAGCAGCCATGCCCTTAATTATGTATAACTTTTAGTCTCAATACAATTTAAAAAGGCGAGTTGCCCCCTTACAGTTGTCATGGAATTGGAAATTACCTAGAGAGACCAAAATAGTTTTTTTTTTTTTTTTTCTACCAGGCTGTAAACATGTTTATTTCTGCTCTAAAGTTGGGTATTTTAACATGGGAGTCTGTGGGGATTGACTCCCTTTTGGTGCCAGCTCCAAGACCTGGGATATATTTGATACCAAGTAAACAGTCAGTTCTCATAGTCATTGTGTTAGATTCTGGAGAAATAGGCCAGTGTAAAGACCTGAGTAACTGTAAGAAGTGCAAAATCACTATGGCCACATGACTGGGTCAGAGCATCCAGAAACAGCCAGGCTTGTTGTGTGCTCCCAGTCAGCAGTGGTTGTGATCTAAGGAGGGATAAACCATGAAGTGGCCACAGGGTGTGGGGGTGTGCTGGAATGAGTCGGATCCACAGCGGTTCCACCTTGCAACTTGCATGACCATGTAGAGACCATGTCTCAGCAGGTCAGAGGAAGGGGTAGTTATGCACAGCTGGTGGGGGTCCTCACATGTTGGTTATCTGCTTCAGGAAGACTGTATAACATAACACAGATATTATATATACAGGTACATGAGAAATTTGAGGAGGTATGGTCAACACTATTTGTCCAGTGTTTGCTCTGTCTGTTGACCAAGAAATGACTTGATATCATGTCAGTCCTTAAATAGAGGAACACCCCAGTGATCTGTTTGTCTTCGACCAAGGCAGTGACATTGGTTTATCCACTCTTTACCACAGTTTGTTTTTGATTATTTGCTCTGTGCTGGTTTTGTAAACCTGAATAAACACTGTGCTGTTAATCCATGTTTTGCTGTCAAATGGTAATCGTGTGCATGAGCAGCTGATAAAGATGAAGCAGAGAATAAGAAGAAAAGATGCAATGAGCGATCGATTTTCACAGTGTAATTAAAAGATAAGTAGAGCAGGGCAAAAATATTTCTCTTACCGGCTTACGATGACCCTAATAATGCACATGAAAAGTTTTTAGTTTGTGAAATATTTTTACTTGTGTTCTTTTTTTCTTTTTTTTTTAAATTGCAGTCATTGTTTCATTAACTCAGTCTATGTGCATTAAATAAGAGGGTGTACATATCACTTCAGTTCATACTGTCATGAAAATCACTTATTTTGTATTCCGCCTGTGTTTCAGGTAACAGTGGAGAACTTCCTACGTGTTTTGACTGGGAGGCTGCCTCCCAGCACTCCTCGCTCCAAACGCCTCCTCTCCGATGACCGAAGCAACATCCTCATATATTTGACAGGTAGTAAAAGGACAAATCCAGCCTCAAATGCTCCTTTTTCAGTCTTGCATTTAAGGAGAGTTGGAATGTTCAGTGCTAGAAGTAATTTTATAATTTAAGCTCTGTAATTCATTTTCTGCGTGCACACATTTCCTACACTGTCTACACCTTTGCTTCAGTTAAAGATTCCTAACATCTCCCAGACTATCACCTACCCACAGAGAAGGGATGCAAACATACACCTTATGGCTTTCACTTATACGTGTAGTGAAAAGCTCAAGATCAGAAATGAGCTTCCACCAGCAAACTAATTCAGTGATGACTTGTTTTGGTACTGTCCTTTTGTCTGCATAATTGCACATTTTTACAGCCTAACACAATAACCACTACCTGAAACACATATGTACTTCCTGTACTCACAGTAATATTCATACTGAGTAGTTCTTGTTATATTGTCTTCTCAAAGCCATGAGTGTCTCTGCACTCTTGTATTATAGTTTGAAGATGTGTAGTTTTTATCAGCCCATGTCTTTATCTTCATCTGTGGCTGAATGTAGCCACAGTCTTTTCAGAGTTTCAGTTTTTCCCCACAGGTTTTTGCATCATGAATCTGAGATTATTGAAATATTTATAATGTGTGTGGTTGTTTAACAGGCCATGGTGGAAATGGTTTTCTGAAGTTCCAGGACTCTGAGGAGATTAGCAATGTGGAACTGGCTGATGCTTTTGAGCAGATGTGGCAGAAAAGAAGGTAAATAAACTGGAGAGCAACATAAATTCAAAAACGCAGAGGGCCACACAAAGTGGCTGTCACACAATGTGGATCTCCTTTTGCCAGCCTACTGCACTTGGCTTTTACCCTGAGGGTCAGTTAGCATTTATCTGCTACTAGCTGCTCTTTGCTTATACACTACACAGTGCACAAGTGCATGGTGTTTGACTCTCTCTTATACAACACTTGCCTGCGACAGTACATTGGTGCTAAAACTTAGCACCAGCTCAAAATACTGTTTTTGATTACATCCAGTAGTTGAAATTCTCTTCTTGCTGCAGTGATGTAGAAGTGTACTCAGGGTACGATCAGTACACACTGACATCACTGTTAAATGTGGCAACAGTACAAGTGCAACAGATCATACAGTTTTTTGTTGAGTGAGGTCAAAGGTGCAACAAATGTTAAACTTTGATTCAGAAGAGGCAGGTGAAACCAAACTTCGGGTTCGTGTAAAGTTACTCTTTAAAGTCGGTGTATTTATGATCCAATGTACTGCTTTGTGAGTGCATGCTTTATATTCTGTATGCAGGGCTGTTTGAGTAGCTTAACATCAGAATCTGATGATAATCATCCCTTTTACTGAACTCTTTTAAATTGCACAGTCATTAGATTCATTGTTAACATAAATATAAATTGTAACAGCTTTGTATAAACACAGTTTAAACAGTCAGTCAGTGTTAAAACCTGCTGCACCTTAATTTTAAGTCATTTACACAGACACCTGACCTAATAAGCTGACATAAAACATCATGTACATCTATAGCTGCATAACTCGATGTCCTATGAAGGTGGAACGGTCATGTCATTTTTCAGGGTGCTGTAGTGTCTGAGACTTTTGAGACACTAAATGAGTTAAAGTGGATCTCTGCTACCAGCACCTCCATTGTCCTCCAAGCCTATCAATAGAGCATGTCTGGGTTATAGTCAGTCCCCAGGCTCCTCGATAAAAGCTTAGAGATGGCAGCTTTGATACTGACGCAATAATTGGAGGCTTGAACTGCCAAATTGCAGCCACCTCCCTCATGGTGCCCAAATCACCTTGATTAATTCAACTGGATGTAAAAGTCTTGCATCTATCTAAACTGGGGAAAGAAGTTGTCGTGAAATTTGTCTATAAGGGAGGAAAGACAGAAAGGCGAGAGCGACTGATGAAGGGAAGGAGAAACTGGGTGCGTGGGTGTGTTAGAGGGACTGAATGGAGCTGCTGGTTTTACTTGGTTGCCATGGTAACTGCAGTATAAAAGCTGGTGAAAAGGGTTGTGTAAATTTATTGGGAAAAATTGACAACTGTTATACCAGCTGTGCATTCTCTCATCAGATTTGTATGAGAATGGACATGATCCTCTGTGTGTGTGTGCGTGTGTGTGTGTGTGTGTGTGTGTGTGTGTGTGTGTGTGTGTGCGTGTGTGTGTCCAGGTACAACGAGCTGCTCTTCATCATTGACACCTGTCAGGGCGCCTCCATGTATGAGAGGTTCTACTCTCCAAACCTCATGGCTTTGGCAAGCAGCCAAGTTGGAGAAGACTCCCTGTCAGTGAGTTACCTGCCCACACATGAGAGAGAGAGAGAACGAAAAAAAAAATCAGTCCGTTTTCTAATAAGCGGTGTGCTTTGATACCACCGTGATTTAAGACTAAGTCTTGACTGCTGTGTGCAAACATACTCACCCATTAACACACATTCTCCAACATGAAGTGTCAAATTTCTGCAAACTGGAAGGTAATCTGAGTATTTTGTTAACCTGCTCTTTATTTGATTTGGGGAGGTTTCAATTTTAGCAACCCCAGTTAGCAATACCTAAGATAACATTACATTTTATCATGAAAAGGCTTTAAAAGCCCATTTTACACTACAAGCTCTGCACCAGATGGCAGACAGTTGGAGACTAGCTGGTGAACGTAGGGGAGTATTTGGCGACTAAGGCCAGATACTTCTCTCAGGTAGAGACCAAAAACAGAGCTAAAAGCACAACTCCAAATAAATTGTAATGTTGTTGTGTAGCTGCTGGATGTGTAAATACATACATGTTTTGTAAACAAGGTGATGGTTTATGCCAATGTATCTGAATTTTTCAGGCTCTGACATCTGAATCAGTGTAACATTGTACATCATAAGATGTTTAGTTTTACCTTAATTCACATGACACATTAAAACTGTAATTGAATGACAACCACATTACACGTGCTACATTGGTGATTAGAGGTGAGGCAAACGTGGCAGAGTTTAAAGGCTGTTAACTTGTCAACATACTTTTTAATATGATATTGTTACCCAGCAATTAGAGTATATACTTTTTAATATGATATTGTTACCCAACAATTAGTGTTTCATCCTGACACCATCTGTGTATAAATGCAAAAGAAGCGCTCTTCTTAAATTCGTGTTTAGAGAGCATGAGCTAAAACCAGTGGAGGGCTGTCACTCTGTGCCAGTTTGCCACCGTTGGTCAATGATTTCATTCTCTCTATACACAACTAGATTTTCAATGTTTTTGTTTGTTTGATCAGCAGGCTCAGGTTTGTCCTCCTCTTATTAATTTGCATTAGTCAGTCACAATGCCAGACCACACAGTTCAGACATGCTTCTGTCCAGTGATCTATCCTGATCCTGACGTCTAAAACAGTTTTGAACCGAAACTAAAAATGCACCAGTGCTAACAAAATGCTGTTGGATACTGAATAGTCCTGTTTTTTCCCTGTCCTGTCTCTTTCTAGCACCAGCCAGATTTAGCCATAGGAGTCCATTTGATGGACCGTTACACCTTCTACCTGCTGGAGTTCCTGGAAGATATCCACCCTGCGAGCAAAACCAACATGAACGATCTGGTAAGGAAGTGTTTCCTTTTTACCCAGTGTCACAGAGTATTTGTTTACCATAGAACATAAAGTCTCATTATCAGTTTATCAGTCAGTAAGTTGGTGATTAATTGATTAATAGTTCTGTCTTTAAAATTCAGGAAGTAGCAACAGTCTGAAATTAACTGTAATTTATGTTAATGATATGATAATGATATGTCTCTATGGGTTTTTTTTTTTTTTAGCTTAATGATACAAACCAAAAAACTCAAGGCTACAATCAGATGATTATTGTACAATGCACAAATGTATTTGCACACTTGCAGGTGCCAGCTGTGAATATACACAATAATATGCATCAACAGTGTTTGTGTGCTTGGCAACAGTGTACAGTGTGTATTGTCATCTGAGGTTGTGCATGTACACACTGCTGCAGTAGATGTCTGTTTTAGGTAAAATACATACAGTATATGGTGGTGTTTAAGCTTGTGCTGTCTTTATGTGACCTTTGTTTACACTACAAGTTTCCCCTTTATTGATTAGTCAATAAAACAAACAGCTGATTGATTGAAAATTTTGATAATCAGATAATTTGAGCTGTTGGTCAGACAACACAGTAGCACAGTTTTTGACATCTTAGAGGCTCAATACTCGTCTGAGTAATAAAAACTGATTAATTATATATAAAATATAATCGTTAGTTGCAGATGTGGCCTAAATCTTCTCTGACCTGTGGCAGAAAGACTTTTTTGGTGGGATTGGTATCTGAAGTTTCTGGATGAAAGTCAGACAGGGCTCGCAGGACTCTGTACTTGAAACGGAATGTCTGATGCTGTGTTAAGGTTGTTGGCCTTTGACACATGATGGCAGAGATGGTGAGTTCATGCTGCTCTGGGCTACAGCTCAATCTCAGCAGCACCTCCCTTTTCATCTTTTTCACTCCTGCAGAGACTGACCTCAGGGGCCACTGCTCATCCCCCCCCCCCCTCCCCCACTCC